TCAGCTGACCTCTTTGGCCTGACCTGTAATGGAAATGTCTGTGCATGTTCACGTCTTCGTATAGCCCCCATATAAAGGCACTTTCCGATATTTGGTATTTTGATGATTCTAGCGACATTATACACCGGAATTGTTTTAAATTTGGTATTTGAAGTTCATAATGGATACTACAGCGTTGGACAGAAAGTTGTCTGTGCAGGTCTACGTTTTGGTGTGACCCCCATATAACGGCACTTCCCTATATTCGACATTTTGGTGATTTTAGCTACATAATTCACCTATTTTTTTATTCAAGTTTTGCATTTGAATATTGTAATGGCTTACGACAAAAGTAGTCTATGCAGGTCCATGTCGTCGTATAGACCCCGATATAACGGCTACATTCGGCATTTTTAAGATTTTAACAAAATTTTTAACTGATTTTTTTTGATAATTGCCAAATTCGTTCCAATTGGTGGAGGGTATTCAAATTTCGGCCCGGCCGTACTTACAGTTTTTTTTACTTATTTAGCTTCACTTTCATAATCTACTGGGGGTTTTCACCACTCTTAATAAATGAGGAAAAACGAATCCGATGTTCCGCAAACTTTTTACATTCCCAAAATTTCTACCAACACTAGATCCAGAGTAAAGATGCCATATACCGACCGAATGAAGTTAAATATTTCTGCCCAGATTATATCGAATGTGAAGATTGGATTTATATGAACGCCGACATTTTTTGAAAATCCCAAATTTTGCATCTCGCCTTCTAAGTAAACGAAGGCCAAACCACATTCTAAGGGTTTATAACTGTCTGCCACTCGGCTGATACTTTCTAACTTGGTACTATGAAATCTACATCATTGAGACCATGCTTTGGCTTGCAGCATAATTTTGGTATGACATACAACAATAGAAACAAAACAGGACAAAACGACGTCTTACAGAACATGTCTCACCATCATAGTGTTGCCAAAAGTTGTTCGGTAGGTAAAATCTAAAATCATTGGACAACAAACAAACTAAAAAAAAGAAAATAGTTTTTCTACCAACTTTATGACAGGTTTGACACTTCCAAAATGCTACTATGGTAGGTTTGATGTTCGGTAGATAAGAACTAGAACAACGTTCATGCATAGATGCATACATTTAAAATTGAAGCACATTTTAAGGCTGTAATGTTTAAAAACATTTCTTTTCATTTGAAGTATTTAAATTCGCAAACATTAAAAAGGGATTAATTATTTTTTTGATTTAGCTGCGAAGTTTTCTCTCCCAGCAGATTTTTTGAAGTATAAGAACGAATAAATCGCATTTTTTGCATTATTGAAGACTTTCTGTTTTCAGAATCAAAATTTGAGCTCCTAAGTTTATAAAAAATTGATATAAAGCTTGAAAAATACCGTGCTCACACAACATACGCTGCTCTATTTCGATACCTCCAAAAAATAAATCCATTTTTTTTCAAGATTTCAAAAACAAAAATATTCTATCAATATTATTCTATCGGACTCAAAAATAGTTTATAAAAAAGTAATAAGACTGCTACAAAATAATTTTTTTCAATGATCACCAGAAAAATCGAGCAGGTTATAGAAGAAGAGCTAGAAATAAAAAAAAATGTATGTATATATGGCGTTTGGAAAGTTTGCATTTTCCTTCCACCACATTTTTATTACCTCCACCTTGGAAACGAGGGTATATTAATTTGTTATTTCGTTTGTAACACCCCTAAATTTCCGTCATTGACCCATAAAATAAAATATACATTCATAATCAGCATAAAATTTTAACGATGTCCGTCTGTCTGTTAAAGCCACGACACAGCTCACATTCTTTGATGAGGGCTTTAAAATTTGGTACCATTGTTTGCTTTGTGTATAGGATGGTTGGTATTGAAAATGAGATATATATATCGGTCCACGTTTTGGTGTAGCCCCCATATAATGGTACCTCCCGATAATCGGTATTTGGATGATTTTCGACACATTTTTTCAAAGCTTTGTCGAAAAAAATGCTATTAGTTGTTTGTAATGGGTTCCAGCTTCGGTGACAGAACATTGGTTTTATATAGGTATATAACGGTACCTCCCGACATTCGGTATTTTGATGGTTTTAGCCACATTTTTTTTGAGGATTTGCATTAAAATTGGTATTTGTAGTTATAGGTTCTAGCTTCGGTGGTGGAACATTTTATACATAGTTCCACGTTTCGTATAGCCACCATATAAGGGTACCTCCCGATATTTGGTACGATTTTTACCACATTTTTCAACGAATTTATATAAAAAAGTTATTTGTATTTCGTATTGGTTCTAGCTCCGATGGAGAAACATTGTACATATAGGTGCACGTTTCCGTATAGCCCCCGTATACCAGTACCTCCGATATTCGGTATTTTGATTGTTTTACCCACATTTTTCTATGGACTCATATAAAAATAGCTCGTAATGGGTTCTAGCTCTATAGCGCACATATAACGGTTCCATCGGATATTCGGTATTTTGATAATTTAAGCCATATTTTCTAATAGATTTGTGTGAAATTTGCTATTTGTAGTCGCCATATAATGGCTCCAATCATTCTCCTACCGATCCTACGGGTGTTTGTAGTTTAAATTGGAACACGTTTAAATCCAGATACTTTTGCATAATTTTTTTTTTACCCAATTATGGAGGTTATTAGAAGTTCGGCACAGCAGAACTTAATGTCGTTTTACTTGTTAAAATTTTCAGATTAAGAGTTTTCGGAATCTGCGCATTTTAGGTATACAGCGACTTTGATAATATTATAGATAACAATTTGAGGATTATGATAGTCAACAAATTTAACCTTTAAACTAGTCACTAAAGAGTTCTTTTTGGTCCTTTCTATTAGAATCTCTTTCAAAGGGATCGTTCAATGTCAACATATTCTAAAAATGTATTTGTCATAAGAAAGGCATCAAATAAAATATGAAGAGTACCAAATGCTTATTTCGGATTTTATGATTGTTTTGGTTGTTCAAAACTTTGGCCCTTTGTGGCGGAGTTACCAAAGGGTTACCCTACCATCTTTATAACTGATCTTGTGTTGATAGAAATATTGAGATGTGCCTAGCCTGAATGGCATCGGATGTTAATCTCGCGTTTTATGAGCTTCATGAATATTCAAAAATTTTGACCCTTTGTGAGTAAGTACCAGAAGGAATGATCCGATCTCTACTATCTTTATAATAGAGCTTGTGTTGATGATAATATCGAAACGCGCCAAATCGGAATCGGATGTTAATTTCGTATTTTATGAGCTTCGTGAATAATCAAAATGTTGACTCTTTGTGGGGAAGGTGCCGGAAGGAGTGGACCGATATATCTTCACACAATACCTTGGTTTATTAAAAATATAGCGATGTGTGTAATTTGAAGACAATCGGACTCTTACATCAAAATGTTACCTTTTATGGGGAGGTACTTCATGGAGTGGACCGATATAGTCTATTTTTGCACCTGACCTAGCACTGATATATTATGAGTTGCAAAGATGGAGCAAAATCGGATTACCTTTCCCGTTCTAAGCAGTAAAATATTTTTTTGAAATTTTTGAACTTTTATGGGGAGGTACCAGAAGGAGTAGTTTATATTGCCCATCTTCGAACTCGATCTAATCGAATACTTCCATCGAGAATTATCGTAGCACCAGCCAGACAGACGGACGGACATCGATAGATCGCCTTGAAATGTCTTGAAACGGATTTGGTCCAGAGAGACTAGGGTCTAAAACTGTTATGTCTATGAGACACGTTTTAGTCGTATCAAATGAATATACCTCTGTAGCCTTATTGCTCCAATTTTCCAAGTCACACCCATCGGCTGTCTAGGCTAACACTCTATGCCGCCTTTACTCACTTCTTGGTATTGGGGAAGATAATTTCTTTAAGTTTGTAATGGGTTATTCGATGTGGGTCTCAAATGTTCGCTGGGTATCTACCCCCTCCATGTGCGATGCATTGAACTTTGATATGCTTGCAAGAATTCATATATTTTAAAATTATTTTCCTCTTACTGCACATCAATTAAGCTAATCTGTAACTTAATTAAAAAATCTCCACCTGAATTATTTTTCTATGAAATAATAAAAAAAAATATTTTTTTCTCCACAAAAAATGGTAATTTGATATTTCATTTTCTTTATTAATTTTAAATTTTTGCATAGAACTACAACTGAGCCCTTAAATAATTTTCTAATTGCTTTGCTATCTACTATTGAATGTGGTTTTCCTAAACAAAATGAAAAAAAAAATAGAAAGAATATATGTAAATACGTGTGCAGTATCGTCTGCATGTACATGACAAAGTGGAAGAAGAAGAAGAAGAATAAGAAAGAAAAAACTTTATAGAATTTATTGTATCGATCCTTTAATAAAAACTTGATTCGTCTATTCAACAAAGGACTGTACATATTTATTGGGAAATTTTTAAGTTCCATTTAATCGAGAATTTATTGAAAAACTTTCACCACAAGCTGGCTAATGTGGGTTGGCTGCTGCAAACTAATGTCAAAGAAATACAAAAAAAAAAAAGTGATTGTCAACGATAATAGCTTGAGTGCACTTTGGAATATTGATAGATTTTAGATTCTATAACAAAGATTATGTAAGGGCAAAAGTCGAAATTCAGATGTAGGATTTTGAATGTTGCCACCAGAATTAAAATTGTCGCGTCGAGATCCCGAACCGCAGTTATGGAATATATAGCAAAAGCGTCGTAACTAGTTAGATAAAATAATGGCTCGGAGAAACTGAATAAACTCGATTCAGTGTTTTTTAAGGACACTTCATACATACACACATTTTAAACAAGACTTTAAGTGGATATGAGTTAGCTTTTGGTAAGGAATTTTAACACATTTTTTTAAATCACAATAAAATGCCAATTAACCAATAAAATATATATTAACCAATAAAATTAGGGAATTTTACTGCCGAGGATATAATTGAAAATATTTACTTAACTATAGATCACAAATAAAAATAGACTTACCACATTTCATTTCCTGCTCCTCTTCCTCTACAGCGCGTAAGACGGCAGAGTTAGCCAAGTTAAGGGGTTTGGCAATTTGATCGTCAATTTCAATCCTGAAAATAAAAATAGGGTTTTTTATTAGGAAAAGAAGCTTTCGTATAACTTAATTTTATTTAACATTACACACAAAAAATCTCATTACCAAATAAGGGGTTTGTTAAGTACAATTTGTCATGAGTAACTACTTACCAAACAGCATTCTCATTTTATTATAGATGTATTACAGAAAATATTTTACAAGGTAAAATAACTTTATTTTCTCATTACCATGTAATAAGTAACGTCGAATAAAATAGAGGATTGGTCAAATATATAATAAGAGAAGATAAAAAGCAATAAATTTGGTCGGGCCGAAATTTGAATGCCTCCCACCATTTGTAACAAATTTGGTTATTTTCAAAAAACAAAAATAAAAAAAAATCCGTTAGGATCTTAAAAATATCGAATACAGGGAATTACAGTTATTTTAGAGTCTATAGGAAGATGTGGACCTGCATAGAAAATTTTCTGCCATAGGCTAGTAGTGAAATGCAAATACGAGATTTGAAACAATTCCGGTTAATATTGTACCTAAAATCGTCAAATTATCGAATATGGGGAGGTAGGGTTATATGGGGGCTATACCTAAACGTGGACCTATACAGATCAAAGACAAATCTCAGTAAAATTTCATCAACCTAGTTAAATTTGTTCCGAAGCTAGAGTGATTGCCACAGACGGATAGATGGACGAGCGGACATCGCTGAGTTGGCATAAAATTTTATGCTGATCAAGAATATATATATTTTGTGGGGTCTAAAAGGTGTTTTGAGGTGTTACAAACGAAATGACAAACTCCATACTATGGTGGAGGGTATAAAAAAGACTAGAGTAATTGACTGACTAACTCAACGATTCATCAACATCCAGACGAATCTTGAAATTTTGGCCAGGGGTCACTCGTGGTTCAATGGTGTCTGAAGAGGCTTTGTTTTTGGATATTCCTACTAGAACGGTGCGAACAGAACGAAAAAATATGGTATGCTTTGTATTGAGGAACCAAATACAAAGGGTCAAGTGTATGATAGCTGTACCGAAGAGTTTTTGGAAATTCGCACTATGAGTGTGGGAAAAGTACTAAAATGAACTATATTTCGTACCATATCGAATCATGTGAACTATTAAAGCTAAAAACAAGAGAAAAGTACTAAACGGCACTAAATTTGGTATAATTTGAATTTGGAGGAACGGATAAGAGAACTGGAATTCTGAAATTTTAAATCAACATTACTGGAAGTTTTCGAAATGCGTACTTATATGCGTGAAAATTACTAAATGGTACTATAATTAGTACAATTTCGATTTCGGCGAACCGATGAAGCTGGAATTCTGAAATGCGGATATAAGATCATTATTGTATTCTAGGACTGAGGAGTGTAGGTAGTTTTGGAAATTCGTACTTTTGTGTACTAAATTTGGTACAATATAAATTATTAGGAGAGCCACAAGAGTTCAAATCGTGAAATTGGGAAATAAGATTTCTATTGGATTGTATAGGCAGAGATGAAAGAACTGTAACCCATTTCAGACTGCTGGCATTTCTAAGCCACTTGTCCGACAGCTGTTAAAATTATTTCAGTGACAGCCCATTATATTGTTTACAAGCGTACAAAAGCATTTTGCTGAGAATCTTCCAGAAAAAAAGTTATTGGTGATGGAATTCAAGCGTGATAGTGTGATTTCTTTATATTTGGCTGGAAAACCACAAGTGGCTATCGTTAGAGCACTCCAGCATTTAAATGAGAATGAATCTGTTGTGTCTCGCACCATTGCTCGTTACCGTGATACTGGAAGTAATGAAGCGACTTGATCGAAACCTGTGTAGCAGTGGCCGAAAAATGGCCCTTGAGCTGAACATATCGCAATATTCCATTCGGCAAATATTGAAAAACGAGCTCGGGGTAAAGCCATTGAAATTCCAAAAAGTGCAAGAACTTACACCGCAACAGAAAGAAAATAGAATCAAAAGAGCTAAAGAGTTACTTCGCTTGACCGAAAGTGGTGAACTGCCGAATTTGGTTTTCTCCGATGAGAAAACATTCGTTGTTCAGCAGTTTGTAAACAAACAAAATGATCGTGTTTACTTGCCAAAGAGGTCAGCTGCACTTTCGGTTCGCCACCAGAACTCAAGCGCCGGCCATGTTAATGGTGTGGGCCGCCATAACAGCCGATTGTCGCTCTCTGCTGGTATTAATCGACCGTGGCATTAGAATAAATGCCGAATATTATCGCGAAAATATTCTAAAGGGTGTATTAATGCCTTAAAGCCTTGGACATTCCAACAGGACAGCACCATCGCACTCAGCACGCACCAACCAAGAATGTTTACAAAATGACGTTCCTCGCTTCATTTCCGGCGCACAATGGCCACCAAAATCTCCGGATATCAATCCGTTGGACTATTGTGTCTGGAGTATTTTGGAAAGCAAGGTTGGCATTAAAAAATACCAAAGTGTCGACCACCTCAAGCAAGCGCTTCGCCGGCAATGGGCCAAAATACCGCAGAGCAACATTCGGGCAGCGTGTCACGCTTTCATTGGCCGTCTGAAGGTCATAATTCGTGCCAAAGGTGAACAATTCGAACAAATCTAAACTTACTATAAAATTTGATGGTATTTCCGACATTTTTTGCATTAATTCAATAAAACTAAAAAAAAATAAAAATTATGGCGTTCGACTTTGTTGCAGTTTATATATCCTTCATCATACTATGAAGGGTATATTAACTTTGTCATTCCGTTTGTAACTCCTCGAAATATTAATAATAGACCCTACAAAGTATATATATTCCGGATCAGCGTAAAATTTCAAGCGATGTTCGTCTGTCTGTTGTAATCACGCTATGTTTCAAACGAATTGAGATAGAAGGCTAAAATTTTGCATACATGCATAGTGTACCAGTAGGCAGGTTAAGTTCTAAATGGGCCATGTCGGTCCACGTTTTCGTATAACCCCCCATATAACGGTACCTTCCAACATTCGGTATTTCCATAATTTTAGCGACATTATTTACCGGAATTATTTCAATTTTCATATTTAATATTCGTAATGGGTACAACAGCCTATGACAAAAATTTTTGTATGCAAGTCCACGTCTTCGTCTTGCCCCCATATACTCCCAATACTCGGCATTTTTATGCGACATTATTCACCGGAATTGTAACAAATTTCGTATTTATAACAATGATTTTAGTGACATTATTCGCCAGAATTGTTTAAAATTTGGTATTTAAAGTTCGTAATGGGTACTACAGCCTATGACAAAAAATTTCGTAAACAGGTCCACGTCTTGGTATAGTCTACATTTAACAGTTTTCACTTAAGTGGCAGTTTACGGAAGTTTTTTTCTTTTTTGAGATTTTTCAAATTCCTTCCAAATGGTGGAGGGTATCTTAGCTGCTTTTTTATTTGTTTGCTTTCATTCAATAAAATTTGAAAAAAATTGTAAAAATTACGGCGTTTGACTTTGTTGCAGTTTTTTCATCTCACCCTGTAGTAACTATTACAAACTTTAAATACCAAATTTGAAAGAATTCTGGTGACACAAATCATCAAAATATCAAATATCCAAATGTACCGTTATATGGGGTCTATACCAAAACTTGGACCTATATGTTCGGTGCTTCGCAAGTATGTTTCCTACATATTGGCAAAAATAAACTTCCAATTAACAGCAAATTCGGTTTGAAATTATGACTATAACACCCAAAAAACCTTTAATTTTGCGCGTTAGTTATATGGGACCTAAGCCAAAAACGTGGACCTCTTTTTTAAATTCCAAATTTTCTACCGACCAAATACACCTCTGAGTAAAATGTTATCGATCTACTTTTTTTGTTCGGAAGCTAAAGTGATTTCCGCAGACTGACAGACATGGCTTAATCGACATAATTTTTTATGGTGATGAAGAATGCATGTACTTTGTGGGGTCTAATATGTATATTTCGAGGTGATACAAACGGAATGACTAATTGAAAATACCATTATTTCCATGGTGGTGGGTATAAAAACCACTTTTTTGAATTTCAACCAACTTAAACTATTTAAACTATGCTTAAACTACATGATACGTTGAAACTAGTTGGAAAAAATCTCATTTCATCTGTGCTTTATATAGTTTTCACTTTATTACCATCCTACTAAAATGATATATTGTGAGACAATTTGGCGCCCAATCTCAAAAAAATAAGTTATTAATTACACTGTCAACCGAAAATGTGGTATTTGGTTTTTTTTTTTTTTTTTTTTTTTTTGAAGATGAAAGGCTATGGTAAGCATTTTTTCATGAAATTGCATTCTTCTGATTCGATTTTCTGACATCGAAATGTCCTTAATATTTCATATTGATCAAAAAGTTCTCACGGAAAATGAGACGATTCAATTCTTGTAGTGTATTTACGAGTAAATTTTTTCCGGAACCGATTGTCTTTTTTATACCCGACAACATACTGTGGTTTGGACATACCTCCCTCTGTTCCAAGTTGGAACTGCTCTAAAAGTATAATACTCATTCAAAAAATGGTTAATAGTTGGTATAATCCATTTATGATCCTTTCTTTACTGGTCTTCTTGGTCTTTCTGTTTACCATTTTTTTTTCAACTTTCTTAAAATACCTTTTTTTTACCGGAATTTGCGACAACATTGATATCTATTCACAATGTAAAGTTAAAATATATATTGTGAACATTTTTACACATTAATGTACACGAGCACATATGTATGCATGTATGTGTGCCTGTAAGTATAAATATGTGAGCATGTTTTTCATTTTTTTATCATCAATTGTTGCTTTACATGAGCTTCTGCACAATAATAAACATAAAATTGAATATCTCGATAGGTTCATTCAGTGTAATTGTCATCGATATTGTAGTAATGAAAAACCAATTTGTTCAGCTCAATTAATACAATTTGACATTTATAAATTATTGCAGTCAAGCGTAGTTAAGTTTTATTACACAACAAAAAAAAAGAGAACAACGACAAAAAAAGTCGTGAGTAAAAATGCCCAGT